TAAAAATATTTTTTTTTTTTTAAATAAAATTCAAAAAACTGCCCAAAATTTGATTTCTAGACTAGAATACCCCCTTAAAAAGGTAGAGAGCAGAGACGTTATACAAGGTAGTTTCCAAAGCAAACTGGACTTCTTCAGTATAGAGACTCCTGATCAAAATTCGTGATCACCGGAAATTCCATCGAAACTGTGCGTGAATTCATCAAAAATCATCCGAGGTCATCGTTGAAATTAATGGAAATGGCAATGAACATCTCCGAGACATCGATTTATCGTATTTTATCGAACATTTGGGCTTACGAAAGGTGTTATTTAACCAAAAATCACATTTTAACCATTAATCACTCCCCGTATTMATCTGATATGGCACCGTTAGATTGCATCTGCCCATGAAAGGAAAGCGTTATGCAGAGGTAGGGACCATTCAAACCGGTCAACGAGCTAATAAAACTTGTTCGACATGCTTTTGGACCATGAAAAAAAATGTACTGGAGCAAAAGAAGACTATTTTGAATTAAATGAATTGATTTTGCCGAAAAAMMCATTTGTTCTGTATTCTTTCTTCTAAGTCCTGTTTATTTTGGAACACACCTTGTATATGGCACTCTCTCTTGAAACACATATTTAGAAAACTTGCGGATGGGAGTAACACTGTTCCTTGAAATCTCATATTCTTATACAATATTGCCTAATTTCTTTAAAGTATGACACCTTATAACCAAAAGTTTCCCAAATCCAAGCAAAAATGATAATCTGACAAATCTTATGCGGAAGTTGCCTTTCGCTCGTTCAGTTTTACTTTCCTATGAACTGATATCTTCAGCAAACTCCATTGTGCATTCGGCTACMATAATTATACGGTTGTGGCGGMTAATACCCTAACGAACAATAGCTGCTTCACGTATTTTATGTCAGGGATGTTTTGACCTTGATCGTATTGTACTTCAGCGCAGTTTTCACCCTACTGTAATTACGGTTTACATCAGCTATAATAGTTTTGGGTGACCCTGACTACACGACCACATTTTTCATATAAGTTTGACGTAGTATAATACAATTCCGGCAACAATAAAACCAATATTACTTTAGATTATGTGAAAAAATTTGTCAATATGTGCGATTTCTGGAGCACACACGGAAATAAAGTCTTTAAAAAAATTGTTTCAATCATCACTTATAAACCATAATATTTACTTTTTTACAATAAATATTTTGTTGCGGCCCTGCAAAGGCTCACATATAACAACCCCATCCCATATTATCAGAGAAAAATATATTGTATGATGGTGCACTGCTAATCCACGGCTCAAGCTCAGTTCTATTGCCAACACCACCTGCTGCTAGTTCTGAGTTCATGGACAAATATTTCCCAGTTGCGGTAGGTAGGTAAGGAGATTATTCCCTCAAATGACACTACCAAGGTCACATTGTGGACCACCAGTGCGTCTTTAAAAACTGGATGTCTTGTTTGTTTCTGAGCTCAGCGTACTTTATTGTATAAGTAGAAGATAAAAACAATACATTCTGAATATAAAAGCWAGCTTATTTYAGGTAAAAGATCAATGCTGCTCTAGATGATTTTTGCAAAAAAATGTTCTATATTGTCTGTGCTTCAAACTCTTTTGTTCTCGTGACCTAAGCTCTCTTAAACATTAGAGCTTCATTGGCCTGGAAAAGACCGACCTTAGCGGCGGTTACTGTGAGCATTTGCCACACTAAGAAGCTACAGCAAATCCGTTGCTAAAGCATAAGCGCAATTCGTCTACCTGTCCCTTAGTCAGATCACTACAAGAAAGGTGAATTTAGTACTCTGATAACTGAGTCGGCATTGCTGGTTTACCTCTGATGGCATTTTTAAACTCTTTTATAGACCTCCCTTAGAAGATCTAACAAACTAAGGCTATCTTCCATTGTTTTTAAATTACATTGTTCTTGCATTACCAGACTTTAGAACGTCAGACTTTTGAAATTTCATAGGTTGCGTCAGCTTAGATCTCTTTTGATGACCTTGATTTTCTGGCCGCCAACCCTTTGCTACAAAGAAATGCTTYAGAGTATAAAAAGGAAAATTTGTAAAGCAAAAGTCATCAGTCATCACTTGACTTTCACACAGAATATCACTTCAGATTTTATTTAGCTCATAACCACTCAGCTCTCCAAACAGTTAYTCACAATGGCCCAACATTTAGAATCAAGCTTCTCGATTCGTAACTTATTAGCAAATGAAGATGGCACCAACACAGCGCTAACACCACCACCATCTGATATATCCATGTCACCGAACGAATCGATGTCGTCTAACGAAGGAAACTGCGGAAATCGTCCCAACTATACATATAGCGATTTGGTGACCATGGCRATTCGCAGCAGCCCTGAGGGTAAACTGACTTTGARTGCTATACAGAACTGGATTAGTGAAAACTTTCCTTACTACCGAAAAGATGAGCARGGCTGGCARAATCAGATAAGACAGACAYTGAGCACGAACTCACATTTCCTGAAGKTACCACGACCTTTGGGCGATCCCGGACGTGGCAACTATTGGACAGTGAGTCCGGAATTGGCCGCTGGTTGTATGGCTGACAATGGAACTGCATTTGGGCCTTTACTTAATGGCGTAACGCATCCCGAGTTGCCGAACGCAGTCTATTTCCCCACGCCACAAGAAATAGATGCCACTCAGCGGGCAATGCATGAGCAGCAGGTGTGGCAGTTCCATCA